GTTGGTTATTGTGTTTTCATTGAATGTAAAAAGCCAAATATTGATATAACCTCATATAATTACACTGCTGCAAGTGACTGGAATAAATACAGATAATGTCGTAGTTTCCAACAGGTTGTTCAGTTTGCTTTGGATTGTTGTAGAATTTACTTGTTTGTTAGTGTTAGTTTATTTATTTAGTGGTCATTTCATAAAAGACTATTACAATAAGGACAATTAGTAGTGTGATAGTGCATTGTAGTAGGGTTCTTATTCAACCGTCACTTGGTGGTGAGTTACATTACCAGTACCTTTCGTATAATTCGTAATATACCCGGTATCTGGGCCAAAATTCGCAGCAACTGGGTACGCCGCTGTCAGGTTGCATTGAAACGAATGGCGGACAGTTTCAAGATTTTTTATAAAAGGTACGCTTTTCTTTTTCACTTTTACTTTTTTTTACAACGTGGAAGTGCATTCGGCTTCTTCCCGGTAGGTACTTGTTACATCCACGCTAGATCAGCTGCGCGACGTTAGTCGCCTAGATCTAGGCCCGTAGTGAAACAAGTTGCACGTTCAAATTTACAAAGACGATTTGCGAGCTCAATTGTCACTGAATTGAATTTTTGTTGTATTTTGTGTCAGGAAGCCATGTTTTTTTTTAATGATTATAAATGGGACACCCTGTATATTACAAGCACAAGCTAAAAATCCAAGGAGTGAAATTACTCACTATAAATTATATATAGAATTGTAGAACCATACCAGACAACAACTTTAAGCATTATGCCGTCAATTTTCGGCAACACACCTGAGTATGCAAGTGAACTAAACTTTAAGTTTTGAAGTGGATATTTTGATAAATTTATTTTGTACTGCATTTCTAAAAAAGTATAGGCGAAGAAAAATAATCATTTAGAACATAATGCCGTACAAAACTAACGGCGCCCGAAGCCGGGGTAATTTTTTATTTTTAGTCAATTCCACGATAATTTTTAATCATTTAATGCTGTACGACGTTTGCAAAATATTAATAAATAAATAAATTTCCAACATTTTTAAAATTCTCTGAAACTTTAAAAAAAATTTATGTACTTATATTGCTAATATCACATCTGTTTTCAACTGTTCAAAGGTTAGAAAAAAAAAGAAAAAGTGATGCCGTACATTTTTATTTGATGGAATTTTCTCAATGACGACATTTTTACTAGCAATTAAGTTTAAAAGTTTAAAAAATTCCATGAAAGTATGGTAGAAGGAAAAATTTTCCAAGACGAATATAACGTAATATAAGATATTTCTGTTCGGACTGCTTTAGAGTATATGGGATTTCGGAGCGGTAAATTTAATTTAGAAATATAAGGAAATTTCATTACATTACACTACATTAAATATGTACGGGACTGCAAAATAACACAGGAAAACGACGAAAAGACTTTTTTAAATAATTTTAGTTAATTTCTATGTAATTTGGTGTGCTGATTCCGAAGAAAATAACGAAAAAGTCGAATCACCCTCCATTTTCTCACATTTCAATATTAAATAAAAGTAAATTTTATTAAATTGGTTTATTGCCATGATATTGACAGTTTAATGAACGAATCTGGCATTGAATACAAAAAGGAAGATTGGACACTTTTTATAGACTCATCAAAAACAAGTTTAAAAGGTGTATTATTACACAATGGAAATACTTATGCCTCTTTGCTTGTTGCTCATTCGGTCCATATGAGAAAAACATACGAAAATCTTAATATAATTTTTGACAAAATGAACTATACGGCTCATGATTGGATGCCGTGTGGAGATTTAAAAGTTATCTCAATGCTTCTTGGTCAACAGAAGGGATTCACAAAGTTTCCATGTTTTATATGTGACTGGGACAGCAGAGCAAGGGATCAACATTGGTCCAAAACACAATGGTCTTTAAGAAAAACTTTGACACCCGGTCGGAAGAGTATTTTGCGTACAACTTTGGTTGACCCCAAAAAGATTCTTTTACCACTACTACACATTAAGTTGGGTTTAATAAAACAATTTGTAAAAGCTTTGCCTAAAGATGGTGATTGTTTTAAATATTTATGTAGAAAATTTCTTCATTTATCAGAAGCTAAACTGAAAGAAGGGATTTTCGTTGGGCCTGATATTCGTAAATTGATGCTCGATACCAACTTCGAAGCAACGATGAGTACAAAGGAAAAAGAGGCTTGGATATCATTTAGAGAAGTTGTGACGAAGTTTTTGGGCAATGTAAAAGATCCTAACTATGAACTTATCATGTCTAACATGATAAACAATTTTAAAAATCTTGGTTGTCTGATGAGCCTTAAAGTCCACTTTTTTGCACAACCATCTTGACTTCTTTCCTACAAACTTAGGTGATGTCAGTGAAGAGCAAGGGGAACAGTTTCATCAGGGCATCAAAGAAATGGAGAAACGATAGCAAGGAAGGTGGAATGTAAACAGAGAGCAACAGAATGCTTCGCATCGGAGAAAAAGCTATACAAGAAACTTTACAGAGAGAAGAGAGAGAAAATACAAAAAAACATATATCTAATAATTAGTAATCTATTATTTGTAAAAGAAAATTGCAACTTCATTAAGAACTAAATTTTTTAATTTTTAATTATCAAATATTTCCCTACTTTTTGAAATATACAATACACAATGTCATATTGTGAGAAAATTGTGGGTGATAAAAAAAAACTGATATCGAATACGATTTCAGCACTAAAAAATACATAAGATTTAGGTAAATTAGTTTAAAAAGTTTTTACAAACATTTTTTTTGTTGGCCTGTGTAATCATTGAAGATGAGCATAGAAATCGAACCATGCAAACGCCGTATAGTTACACTTTTTTTTTACTAAAAATATTTACCCTCATCAGAAGAAATTAATTTTACACGGTGAGTCGTATAAAATGTACGGCATAATATAAAATTTCGTTCCTTCATGGTGTGAAACTAAAATCATTAAATAACATGTAAAATCAAAGCTATATATGACTTAATTTAAGGGAAAGTGTTAGGATTTCTTACACTTGAACCAGTAAATCTGTACGGCGTTGCTGGAAAATGAATCTACGTAATAAGCGACTTAAAATAATGCAAACGCCGTACAGTTATCGTGGAATTGACTAAAAATAAAGTGTCAGGCTTCCGACACCATTTGTCTAAATGTCATTTATAAGAGTATAGTTGCCCCTGATACACTAAAAATTTAGTGCCTGTTTTAAGACTTATTTAAGTGCCTTCTGAATAAATGGCGGCTCATGCATATTTTTTCTATGGAAAATACATAGGTGTCCAATATTATGCACTATCCTAATATTAGGCGACCTTCCTCTACGATATAGCCTAATCCATTTTATAGTGGCCTTTAAAAAGTTCCGTATAAGAAGACGAAACGTGGGTTAAATTTATTTATTAATATTAGGTACAAAAAGAAAAGATGTAGTATCAATACATACATACATGTAAATATTGAAACCTGCAGAGGTGCATAGTAATGAACCTGTATGCAGCCTGATACCTTAAATAATAAGAAAATAAACAAGTATTATACAAAATAAAAAAAAAAACAAAATGTAGTAAATGCACTATTTAGTAAAATACAATATTATTTTTGGTCTTTTTTTACATTAGTTGACAGACGAGTTGAGACATGAAGTTGTCAGGTAGGTAGTATTAGCCAAGTAAAATCGTCCAACTCCAACACCAAAACACGACACTGTAGTTGTCCGAAGCATTTTTCGGTAACAAGGTTACTGAAGTTCACTTCAGCCCCTAAAGAAGGTAACTTTGTTACCGAAAAATGCTTCGAACAACTGCAGTGAATTGTATTTTGGAGTTGGGGTTTGAGCTATTTTGTTTGTTCTATAACAATCTCCAAAGTTTTTCCAATCTTCTTATTAAGTAAAATCGTGTGGTACTATTTATGTTGTACTAACGTCTACAATACAACAATTTCCTTCATTTCTCAACAAATCCCGCAAAAATACCCATGTGAATTATTGTTCTCCCTTCCCACCCCTCTCATTACATATTCCACCCTTCTGCAACAGCAACTCGCGTGTCTAATACAACAATTCACCTCATTTATGCAAAAACCCCTCAAAAGTATCAATCACAACTAATGTAAAAAATCACCATAATTAATTAAGAGCTAACTTAATTCACATCTATTTTAAGGCATAGTTTACGCTTTGTACTCAAAATATAAGTCACTTGTTTAGAAGTCAGATTAAAGAAAAATCACACCATAGATAATCATCACATGAAAACGATAACAAATATTAGAGGTTAAGTATATCGCAACCGTCATGTCTAGTTTAATGCGCACCATGAATGCGCACCGTAGTGTGCACCGACGCTTACTAATGGAAATGCCTTAGCGATTAGAATTGTGGTACAACAAAAGAAAGAGACGGAACGAAGTTTCTGACAAAAACCAACTCTCTCACTATAGTGCGTTGGCGTGTCATGAAAGAGATAGCACTAGTCCGAAACCATACGCGATCTCCCTCACTATTCGAGCCAAGAAATTATTACAACGACATACAGCTGAGGCACGTCCATTAATATATGTCTATGGTAGTGTGCATGTAGTGTGTATATATCTATGGTCATAGACTATCTATCTATCTATGAAGTTGGTTATATCGGGCTTGTCAAATCTTCACTGGTTTCATTCAAATTTCATCTTCAAATCTTGACTGGTCTGCGGTTTCAGTCAGTCACTAGTCTTAAAACGGGGCGCGTAAAAATGTAAAAATCGCTATAGTTATTTATTAGTTGATCCGCCACTTATCCGCAGTATTCTCTCGCGCTTGTAAATTTGATTAAATTAGAATAAAGTTTGTAGTGTTCATGTAAGAACATTTATGATTATATCCTACAAATTATGGAACTTTATCCCTCACACGCGCGCAGCACTCTCATGTTTTAAAGTTTTGAAATCACCCATCGCGCGTGTCAGCCGGAGCTACACGAAATGGGCCGAATGCTTCCGTCAAATATATATGCGGCTGACAAATGTTTCTTTTACATGTCTATTCTTTTTGTATAGTTCATTCTATTGTATAAGCTCAAAGTTCAATTGTAAAGTTAAAAAAATTATTTGTGCCTTGATTGAAAAAGAAATTACTAAAACCCATATACACATAATTACTTATTTTCGAAGCGCATTATTAGTGTTTTTCAAAACAAATTACAAGTATGTCGCTTCAATTTAGAACTTTACGACAAGTGATTCAAAAGAACAGACGGGCAGGTATGATTTGGTACTTACAAATATTGCAATTCTATATCTTTTGTACTTTGCACTCATTTTACTCATTTTTGTAGCCTCTGTTCGATTTGTGTCAACACATGATCTAAAGCATACCAAGACCAAAGTAGTGGACAATATAGCAGTTATTACAATTGATACTCCCAATGCAAAGGTATATACATCATTTATTAAAGCAAGCATGTAAGGATACATCATTTTTTGATTAAGGAATTACTTCTGTAAAAATAGAAAAACTATATGACAGTATAATTATGAAAATATATCTGAGAGGTATCACAGTAATTGTTAACTTTAGGAGACACTTCTCCGTACTTCTTGAAAGGGCCTAGCCAATCAAGCATATGAAATTTGCACAGACGTCTATTTACGTTTATTGCTTTTTTATTGATTAGGTATTTGGGGTCATAATAAATTGTAGGGCTCTAATTTCAATTATAAATTATGTACCTAAAGAGGTAATAACCCTAATAAATTCCAAATTTTGTTAAAAAAACTGTAATAGATATTGGGATGGAACCAACGCGAAATCGCGAAACGAAAGTTATTTTTTAGATGCCAATCACATATGAAACATTTTTTTCAAAATTAGATTTAATTTTAAGGGTGAAAAAAAATGACGTTATTTTTTTGGTTATTGTTTTCTACAAAAAAGCCCTGAACATATACCAACCAATTGTCTAGCTTTTAGCCTCAGCATATAAAAAATACAAAATGAAATATTTGGTGAAGTACAATTAAAAAACAAAACTTCTAATATACCTACCTACTTATATGAAAAAATCTTCAATCATTTTTCGTATATTGGCAAATATCGGTCGCCCAAGTATGTGGGCGTTGTATAACTTTCATGATCGATATAAAAAAAAAGTTTGCTAAAATTTAATAAACAAGTTTTGCTATGTGCAGTATATTTTTAAATCGCAAGGAAAAAAGTTACTGAAAAAAGTATGAGCATAATTTCCTATATTTTAGATTTATTGTGAATTAATGTAAGTCCTGCATTTTGAAATTGTTTTATATATTATGCCTTCCTATTCTCCTTTGGTTTAATGGAAACAAAGCGTCTATGCTATTTACAATAAACGATATTGTCACGCGAATCCAATAATTTGCAATGATTTCTACGTTTGGCAGATATACGAAGATTTTTGAAAGAAAATTAAGAATAATGTACAGTACCTTACTGTAAATTTTGTAGCAAACCGTAATATAGCTCAACGAGAAACATGCTTGTTCCTTTCCCTCATGACTATAAAGACAAGATCTGAAAGTTATCAATCAAGACCCAGAGTTTTTATTTACTTCAAGTGCTCATTACAATTATAACAAACAACAGGAATTAGATGATTTGTTACGAGACTTGAATTTGTCTGTAAGACGAGTTGAATACTTAAATGTAGATTACAATAGCAGGCTTGCTGACACCGAGTATAAAAACGTCTGTACAGCGGAAACGAAGTAAAGAAATTACTCCATTTTAGTATAAAACTAAATTTTTGAATTAATTTTACCCACTACAGATGACCTCAAATTAATGAAAAAAAAATGCTGCTGCCATTCCTTTGCTGGAAATCAAACCCGGGTCACTGGTTTTACACACTAGTACTCTACCGCTAAGCTATAAGGAGGTGACAGCAGAAACAATAGAACATACAGATATACACGTACGTTCGCCCGTAAAACAAACTTAGTAGCGTATTCTAAAATATTACCGCACATTAATTGAAAAACGTTGCTGAATTTGCGTACGGAAAAAATTGGGGTCGGCAGCATTTTTTTGCCGAAACCACTGACATAAATCAATTCGCGGCTGGAAATTAGTTTTTTGCAAGGCTTGCACTCTTTGTAAATGATATGGATGCAGCAACTGTTTCTTTAAAATGCGCCACACTGTAATATGGAAAGAGCTATGGTTCCGCGCTATTTCTCGTGTGCTACTTTGGAAGTTGTTCTCGCATTCCCCGTAAATTAGTATCATGTCCCAAAATATTGTCGTACTGAAGCCATTGTACCAACTACTGTTGTTATTGACCTATGACAATGGTATGTTACCCAACTACTACCAATTCGCTAAATACATACACGTTTACAACACTAAAAGAACAAGGAGCCATTGTAGATAGGTTGTAAAATATACATTGTCGGTTACACTTACTACAAAACATATGCAACACGGATAATGCCGATGATTAGCTGATGAAATGCGGAGTTGAATTGCCCCCTGCGTGATCCTATCAGAGCTGGACTGGCTCTTGCCTGTACGTTTACATACGTTTTTCTCGAAAACGGTGGACTTTCGGACCACCAAACATTTACTTCTTACATCATGCCCTATCACCTGCAAGCTTACTACTTACTTCAGAAACACGCAGTATATTGTGATTCATAGACTTCTAGCTCTTCATGTGATAAGACAGTTTTTGTTGCTCTTTCGTAGTATGTCATATGTACACTCTCAACTCGCTTTGACTAAACAGTGTTTCCTATGGATAGGTTCATGACATATCCTTTTTATTATATCATTATGTATTATGTTAAGAGCTGAAATTGCGTCGTGTCACGCTTAACCCCAAGTAATCATTCCGTACTACAGAATTGAGTGGACTATACTAAAATAAATTTTTGCTGAAGAAAATTTTCTTAACTTCAGCATCATATTATTGATAGGTAATTGCCAACGCAGGTTAGTATCAATATTTAAATGCGTTTAATGTACACCAAACCATTTCTAGCTACAAAATTAATGCTGTCTAAATCTACATCCACAATACATTCACAACGGATGCTGTTGCGCATGTATACATGTATCTTATTCACTCTTACAGGTAACGTCAGTTGAGTTGCAAGCGGGTCGTTGCCGTTTTGGATCTTTCGCAGGATATTTACAATTATCACATTTTTATTTTATTTACAACCGGGATGAAAAACGAAAGAGTATTTGGTTATTTGGTTAGGTAGGTAAATACATGTATTCACAGAATTACTATGTTCATATTAGATTTAGAACATTTTTTTTTCATTTACGTTGGGATGTGTTAATTTGTTTACACCTTTAGGTTTGGAACTTTCAATATTTTATTGTTAATTTTTCTTTCACAGTTTTCAGTCCATTTTTTTTTTGTTCAAATCACGAAACCTATTGTAGGTGCGAGTTCTACTTAAACACATTATCACTTCAAAATGTATAATTATATTGTAATGTTCGTAGGTTTAACAAAATTAACTTTAAGAATGATAACGACAAGACTATTTATTTACACTAATTATTAAAGAACTTAAAAACACTACTGTTGATATATCACTATTACTGCGCTATTTATTTCACTGTTATCACTGTCAATTTATTTCCCGATTCACTTCTGCAACGGTCAATTTATTTCTACTTCTCCTTGGCGATCGTCTCTTCCTTTAAATACTATTTATTTCCGTTCGGGAACCTTCTCGAACCGCCAGGAAAAGTTTCTTTTTCTTTGAACTGTTTAATTGCTTTCCCAGAATGCAGGTACGACACACATTTACAAATACGGCGCACATGAAGAAAGGCGCCCGCGGCTAGTCGGCGAATCGATAAGCCGCTCACACACACGTATGCCCGATCGCACACAAACACGCTCGTGCTCGCTACAATATTTTTCATTTTTAATTTAGCAATCGTTTTAACGGTCAATTTAGTAAATACCTTGCGTTCACAGCTACTTCGATTAGACCATTATTGAATGTAAAGGTTTCCCTATTGATATAAAAGTGATCTAATCTGGATCTCTATTAGTATCGAATCTATTTGTCGCTGTACCCAGACTACATTTATGCTTGAATTTATATACAACAGTCTGCAATGTACCGTAAAGATTCATTAATAACATTCATTAATAACATAACTTATATTTAAAGTTCAAATATTCGTAAGAATTTTGAATTTTCAGTTTCTGTTTCATCATCAAAATATGAGGCTCAAGAAAGGAATAATTATTAAATTCGGTTTCATCCAATTCATCCTCTATTACATCAGATGAAATAACTGTGCTTCATTTGAAAGCATATTGTGAGTTAAACAAACATCATCACTATTACAAGAATTATTATGAAAACAATCACTTGCTGTAGAAGGCAAAATTCCGCACTTGGAGTTGTATTTTGTTTCTTAGTGAAAACTGAAGTAGAATTCTTCCCCAATAAAAACCATTTCAAGCGATACTGAAAATCCAATGCAGATGGGTGATCATTGGAACCTCCCATCCCTCGTGTGTATGCAAAAGAAATTCTAGTACTTCTTGATCCTATTTTATTAAAGGCTTTTAAACGTTTCTAGTAAAGACTTACTAGAATGTAGAACTCTTTTTTGGAATGAAATAAGTGACTTCTGGATTTTCTACTTTTAGTTCACTGATAGACATGTTATTTAAAATTGGTTTTTCATTTTCAGTTTGTTCCAAATGCAAAATAAGCAGAATATGTAAACACATTGTATAAATAAATCAGTTTTTTGTATTCTTACCTATCATTGTATTGTTCAGTATAAAATGTTCTTTGTTCATGTAATTCGGCTGATTTTGTCACAACTAGATCTACAAAATTTACAATGTTAAAAAATATCACATTAATGTTTACAATGAACTTATTATCCTTCATGTAGTTGTTGTATTTCCATTTCTATTTCTGTGCAACTTGGTTTACTTGCTGACTATACCATTGTATTTTTCTTCACCTAAAATACTGCGATTATTATTGAAATTCTTTGTAGGCGGATGTAATGTAGGTCTATATCTTTTGGGACAACTTCATCAATTTTTATTTCATTGGCACTTCAATAAAATTTTCTTCAAAATGTATTGAACACAAATGCTAAAACATTTAAGTGCCTGTATGTATTCGTGCGTTTACACTATAAAAAGATTAGAAGTCAAACTATTACAAAACGGTTTTTATGTTAATTATGTCTTCCCTTTTACATCCAGCGGTTTTGTAATCCTGGATTTTTCGAACGATCACATCAGAAAGAGATTTTGTTTTTCTGCAATGATTGTGACATTTTGCCACAGTACAATTCGATAACTGAATGAAACGTTCAAATAGAAGTAAATTACCCAAACAAATTATTGAAAAAATATTTTTCTGTCGATAACATAGTATGCTTGAGCTTTGAGCGTCACCCTTAAAATTTTTCGAAGAAGGAGACCCCTTTATACCAGTTAACAAACTCTGTAACTCGGCTGACGTAATGCGCAGTACGGGTTTGTTTTGGTGCTTCGATCTAGCATACCGTTATGAATATATTGTGATAACGTCTAAATCATAGACATATATTAATGGACGTGCCTTAGCCGTATGGCGTTGTAATAATTTCTTGGCTCGAAAAGTGAAGGAGAAGGCGTATGGTTTAGGACTAGTGCTATCTCTTTCATGACACGCTTACGCACAATCGTGAGAGAGATGGATATTGTCCGAAACTTCGTTCCATCTCTTTCTTTGGTTGTACCACAATTCTGACCGCTAAGGCATGTCCATTGGTAAACGTCGATGGTCCAAATGGTATTGCTCAAGTCTTATTTACATTGGCGGCATGTCGTCAATAAACCATTCAAATAGTATTATTAATTGTAACTTTTTTTTGTTTTTACTAAGTCGTTTTAATTGTTTTCATAAAAAATTGCTGTATCATCTGCTAAAGTGACAATTATCTCATGACATGCAATATGACAAATGTGATTTACATATAGAATAAGCAATATTGGGTCAATAACCGTTCTTTGAAGAACCCCACATACAACATTCATTTCTTCACTTATTTCATTATCAATGTTTACATTTTATTTTCTGTTTTTCAAATAATTTCATAATAGCTTGTTGACTATGTCACGCAAACCTATTTCCATTTTATTAGTAAAATCGTATAATTAACGTATGGTTTTGCCGGGTCAGTAAAAATACTAAGTACGCAATAGATTAATTTAGAACAGCTATAGCATCTTTCCTGGAGTGTTTTATTCGAAAAACTGGACTGTTTTTCATTTAAAAGAAATTGATAAATTCTAAAAACCTTCTTTTTAATGTTCACAAATGTTTGTCACATTTGCTGCTAGTGAAATTAGCCTGTAATTGGTGGCTTGCTATTTATCCCCTTTTTCGTAAACTGGAATTGCCTGGGCTTTGTTTTCCTGTTTTCTGTATGTTATTATACTTAGTGGTTTCGAAATAACTTCTACAATTTCTAGTATCCTGTTATCTATACCGTTAATTCCAGGTGACTTGTTATTGTCAGTGCTATAGTACCATTTATTATTCTGCTTTCAAGAAGAATAATATAACTTCTATTATTAACATTTTTTAATATCGTTTCAGTCAGTTTTGTTCCTTTTTATTATTGTAGTTACATTGTTCCTATAAACATTCTAATTTTTAATAATTAATTTAATTTTGGCATGTTAGGGGCTGGTATGTTTTCTATGATCTGGTCCCACTTAATGAAAGAAATATGATTGTCATCAGTTTTGAAATTTTTGCCAGTATCATCACAGATTTTGCAGAAAATGACCTGAACTTCATCTTTTTCGACACCTGTACATAAGCGACGTAACGATATTCTGTTCTATTCAAACATTTCTAAAATCAAACAACGTATAAAACACAGAGAAAAACGAATGTGTGTGTTGTATTAAAGTAAAATAATATACGTAAACAAATGAGTTATTGATTAAAAAAAAAACAATCGACTACGTAAATATATAAGTTCTATATATATTTTCGTGACTGCTATTTAAAACCCTTTATTTTCATACACCCGATAGATTTTAAGAAAAGTTTTAAGGATTATGACTTAAAAATGGAAAAAGCAATTAACAAATAAGATTTAACAATTGAAAAAAAGACTGTAAACCAAAATTCAACAATTGAAAAAAGACTAAACCAAAATTCAACAAAGAAGTTAAAGAAACCATCAATTGTATGGGATGGTGGTATCTGTTTCCCCCCTTTTTTCAAATTTATTGAACAACTATAGTTCATCCATTAGTAAATTACTAGTAACGTTATATTTATTGCTGAGAACTCCAGACAACATGTACACTGTACAAAATACGGTTCGTATACCTACATTCACCCCGAATTTGTTTCTTGTAGCAGTTGTATTTGTTAAAACTTATGTATTTGATTCTTAAAAATGTCCTAATAAATATGAAGCTAGTCGAACAAACAATAAATACTGTTTTATTTCTAACGTTAAAGTGAAGTATAGAAAAGTTACAAGAATAATTAAATAAAATAAATTATAATGGAGCTTCACAAAGTAACAAAGATCTCTATTAGTTATAATTCCAGTATGCTTACTTATATTATTTTTATCATCCACGTGGATATAATATGCTGAACTTAAATTCAACTGCGGCATTGTTTTACCATGGGTTGGATAAAGTTAAATCTTAAACTTTTACTATCGTTTAATGAGTTTAAAAAAAAATTCGAGTTTATGAAAAGCAGTCAACGTTTCATCATCATCATCATCATCATCATTATCATAGGCATTCTTCAACCCGAGGGCTGGTTGGACACATAGAAATCCAATAAAACTCAAATCCGAAAGCACAGTTTTCAAATAGAATTTCAGAAAAAAAAGCAAATGAAATTTACAATTTATATTTCCTAATTGCTTCCCTAAATCGATTTTCTAATACCACTATGTACACATACATAGATACTTCTTGTCCTTATATTAAGTACAAATCATCTATACTGTAAGAATTTGTATGTTCATTTCTTTATTGCTGTTCTTGTTCATTCGTTAATTATTTTAATTGGCTCAAGTAATCAACAGTGTTACAAATGTTGTACAAAAGTTACATGTATAAATAATTGTTCTAACTCCCATAGTTCTGGAAACGATCTAAGTGTTTAAAAGTCCTTGTATATGTTTGTTTACTCATCAAAATTGTAACAATCTACTCACTCCACCTAAGAAGATATTTTAGTAAAACATTATTTTCTCCGCCAATTACTCGCCTGCGGAAATTAAAAAAGAGACAAAATGCTTAAAATCTAAATTACGTTTCTGTTTGGATTACTTTTAATACGTACATTGTTTAATCGAAACTCATACAAGGGTTATGAAGGATCTACCCTGTCTATAACCATTAGAGGTATATAATGCCTGCTAAAAATGTTTTCTGTTAGCTACTCCGTTTAGTGTAAACATATTCTGCATCACCGGTAATTGACCTAATTTACACCTATAAATGTTTATATAAAAACGCTACTTTCGAGCAATATAGTCGGATCTAACTATAGTCCTATATTGTAAAGATTGGACTTCTAACTTTGTTAGTAAAAATATTGTCTGATATCTGTTGTAATTTGTATTGTATCATCTTATTTGAAGTACAATATACGTATGTGTTGTGCGAGTTCTATTTTATTTTTAAATGAATCCGCTCCCTATAATACAAGTTCTGTATCAAATATGCTTAATTAACTGTACATTTATCTAAATTGTATATGTAACGGAACGAACACGAGAATTATAATTTAATACACTTATTATATGTTGTAGGTAAACTCCTTGGGAACAGAGATAATGTTAGAATTTGATTCAATACTTCATAAAATAAAAAGTGACACATCAGTCCAAGCTGCAGTGTTAATATCAGGTAAACCCAACTGCTTTATTGCTGGAGCTGATATATCGATGTTGGAGAATTGCAAAACAGAAGAAGATGCTACACGTATAGCTACAATTGGTCAGGCATTACTAAATGAGATAGAAACGAGTTCAAAACCAATAGTTGCTGCGGTACAAGGATCATGTTTGGGAGGTGGTTTAGAAGTAGCTTTATCGTGTCATTACAGAATTGGAGTAAATGATAAAAAAACTGCTTTAGGTTAGTACTCATTTACGTCTGTACCTAGATCATAGTACTTCAAGAATATATCGTTCTCCCTTTCAAATTTTAACTTGAATCATTAAAAGTAAAATGTAGGTGATTCTAATTTCATTAATGGTTAATAAAAATGCATGTTCCTAATAAATAGTTAATTTGCGTTCATTTTACGCATAAATAATTAATTATGTTCTTAACTGTAATACTGTCAGTATTTTTTACATATTGGCTGTATTTTAAACAGCGCTTTTAATGTTCAAAGGTGAAAGTAGCGCCAGTCTTGATATTACGACGTCTATTTTGAAACAAAAAACGTTCTTTGAATTGAAACATCCTTATCGACATACGAAGGAAATTTATTACAGTATAAAACTGTAAAGTGTAACGTCACACGTCAGGTCACGCGCCAACTGTGGCCCCTGGTGGATACGTCCAAAACGAGTAATTTTTAACAAGCTTCAGAAGCTAACCTGTTAGTAGCAACCGATAATCCAAAAATTTTCATTTAAGTATGTGTATTGTATATACGTTTGTGTTTGTTTTAATTTTTAATTTCTATGCAGTTCTGTATGGTGCAAGCGTAAAAGTTTTTAACATAACTAAACCAATATTCCGCATTCGTCCGCTCGAAATAAAATTGTATCTCTCTGGCGTTTAGTTATTAGTTAATACAATAGTTTAATCGAAACTGCCAGACGCGGATCGCGCAGAATACAGGCCACTTCGAATTATTTTATTCGATTATGGTAACGTGCTTATTACGTTGAGGTTAGCTAGGTAGGGATTCGTTTCAGCAAGTAGATATCCATATATTTAAATGGACCTTGTTGGAGCATACGTAATCCTAAAATGTAGCTTCATACTACAGATAGCGTTTACAGCGCCATTTGTGGTATTTTATAAAAAGCGCTGTTAAGACAGCAGGTAAAAGTTGGTCTGTGTTGTGTCGGAGCTGTCTGCGACGCGCTGATAAAATCCAAAAAGATCGAAATCGCAGTTTCGACAGAGTACAGACCACTTCGAATTATTTTATTCTATTAATTTATTTTATTATCAAGGTTGCTGTTGTTTCCAATTTTTAACTTGAAAAGGGCGGTTTAAAATGCAGAGATAGATGCAGGAGTTGATAAAACAGGAAAATTAAGTAAATGTTTGGTGGTCCGAAAGTCCACCAGTTTCTTTGTATGGGGTTGTATGAAATAGTGCGTGTATCAAACGTCAGTGCATAATGCTAATGATTTGCACGACCGTATATGAAGTACGCCAAATGACTGACATTTTTGCTCTATTCAGTGTGTTTACTGGCGGTGTAATTAATTTTTTCTAATGGGATGTAATGGCGAACAATCCTTAAAAAAGGTAAGGCACCTTGGCAATACTGTAATGGTGGTTTGGAAATTCATTAAAATTGCAATTACCAATCCAGAGGATATTAGTTTACCTTTTGATGAAGTTCTCCTTTCTTTTCTGTTTTTTGTACCATGTCAAGGTGTACTTTATTTAATACTGTATACTATCAGCGATGAGCAATGAAGTTATCCATTTAATTTTTATCACAATGGGCGTCTAAACATTATTATGCACAGGGTCGGGCTCCGGATTGCAAGTTTTAGTTTTCATACAATTGTTTTGTCTATTCTGTTGTAGTATGATGGAACTTGGTGCGCATACGTACATGTCGCTCATCTGATCAGCGAGCTATTTTGTTTACCTATCAAGGAACGAGCCAATAGAAACATTGTAAAAAAGTCAAAGTGAAAAATAAATTTCTGCTTTTCGTAAAGTGTTGAAATTGTCCACCGTTAACATGAATTCCAAAATGACAGCCCAATGTGTATCTTTTGTCTCAGATATCGGGAGTACCTTAAATTGTATGAAAAACATTGGTAATGTCAATTCGTAATTCATACACCGTGGCCATAGGCAAGGTGTATAGATACTAATTCTTTTGCATAGTTCCGTAAATAAAAATCTATTGATGTCAGAATGGTGTAGGCAGCGACTGATCAAGAGTTCTGACCGCCCTAGGCTAATTATGAGGACGCGCCCCCGCTAGGTGTGTTACGGACGGCCTAAAAAGTAGTAATTGAGTAGAGTAGTAGTGTGAAAATTTTAACATGGTTCATACTACCTATAAAAGTTTTCAGATCGATCTGCAAGCGAAACTAACGTTGTCTTTTAATCTACATGACATTCGACCTTAGGGTGGCAAACCATTTTTTAAGCTGACCGTACATAAAGGCAAAGTACCTCACGCATTTAGGACCAAAATCATGANACAAAAATACAGCGACTGATCAAGAGTTCTGACCGCCCTAGGCTAATTATTAGGACGCGCCCCCGCTAGGTGTGTTACGGACGGCCTAAAAAGTAGTAATTGAGTAGAGTAGTAGTGTGAAAATTTTAACATGGTTCATACTACCTATAAAAGTTTCCAGATCGATCTGCAAGCGAAACTAACGTTGTCTTTTAATCTACATGCCATTCGACCTAAGGGTGGCAAACCATTTTTTAAGCTGACCGTACACAAAGGCAAAGTACCTCACGCATTTAGGACCAAAATCATGACAAGTGACTGCAGGCTACCAAATAGAAAACCAAACTGCAACAAACCCCTTGGGGTCCTAGCAGAAATAGAATGCTCGGCCTCGGTGTCAAATTTTAAAAACTGCGCCAAATGGACGCATTCTTCTGCAAAGGTTTCTTGTAAATCAGTGGCATATAGTTGTTTTAACTCCTTTGCTTTGCTTCTAATAAATTCACTGTCGTCTAGTTCATGCAGTTTCCATAAGAAACCAAACTTTGTGTTTACTGTATTATAAATAATTTGCCGGTTTTTTAAGTGCACTTTAAGACAATCAATAGCTGCATAATAATTATCAACAATGAAAGATCGTCTCCCTTCTAACTCAATGTGCCCCGTTTTAGCTTCATCAAAATGAAATTTTGGTTTCTTTCTTCTTCTTACATCTTTTTTGTATGTGGTCACTTTGCATCTCTTGATTGCCTCTGATTCAAAATTTTCGAACTCTTTTTCGTCACGCAACGTATCAAGATAAGCATGTAATGTCTCATAAAGAGTAACAACGTTGCATAAATCAACAGAACTTGCTTGTAGCTGTGCACTAACGATTTGAAACTTTACGAGCACAGAGTTCCAAAAGCACAACATTATTGTAATTTCTAGAGTTTTAATTTTTTCTAATATTCCTGTTGCTTCTATTTTGATCTCTTTATTTTGATTTTCATCTTCGCAAATAGAGTTTAATGTTTCCAGAACTTGTTTGTATGAACTGTATAAGGCTTTGCTTGCATCTGCTCGCGCACTCCATCGAGTTTTCGATGGATTTTTTAGTATCGTCTATTTTTCATCCAATTTAGATAACAAAATTTGCCATCTGCTTGTAGATCCAGAAAAAAAATTATATAGTTGTTGTTCCAGTGTAAAAAAAGCAGCTGACTCGTCACTACTTTCCGAGGCAGCCGATCCCACGAGTTGTAGAGAATGGGCTGCACAAGGAACAAAAGTAGCCAATTGATTTACAGCTTTAATTCTTGACTGAAGACCTTTGTATTGACCAGACATATTGCTAGCATTATCATAACTTTGGCCACGACAGTCTTTAATATCAAGTTCCAAAGTTTTATCAATTGTCGCAAGAACAGCCTTCTCCATGTCTTCACCTTTATGACCGCAATTGGGTAAAAATGTGACAAAACGTTCGACAGGTTCTCCGTCAGGCAAAATATAACGAATTATAAATGTCAACTGATCGGTGTGGGAAGTATCTGGAGTAGAATCAATGCTAATCGAATAATATTTTGCTTTTTTTATTTCTTCTATAATCGAAAGTCGAACTTCGTCAGCGAGAAGTAAAATAAATTATTCGATTATAGAGGATGATAAGTACGATGGAGAACCTCTGCCTTTTTGTCCAAATCTCACCAAATGTTCAGCCATGAAAGGATCAAATTTAGATATAAGCTCAATACAACCAAGAAAATTTCCGTTCAGTGCAGATCCAATAATTTCATTTTGACCGTGAAATGGAAGCCCACGAGAAGCTAAAAACTTAATTGTTTCTATTACCCGTAGTAATACATTTCGCCAATAAGTTATTTCTTCATTATATTGTTTGACTATTTGGGTATCCAGTCGTTGTAAAAGATTACCTCTACATACATATTGTCCCAAACATTTACGATGATCCGGAGAATTGTCATGATCAGTTATTAAGTTAGAATTTTTCCAGTCATTAAATCCACTTTTGGCAAATACGGATGTACCTCCATATAATTTGCAAGGACCACAAAACACGTGACCTGTGGATTCTGAGTATAGTAACCAGCTTCTCTTCACATTTTCGCCATTAACAAGCTTTTTCTCAAATACATTTTTAGATAGAAATCTTTTTTTATTTTGATACTGCCTTTCTGATCTGGAAAAATCTAATTCTTCGTTTTGCTGCAGTCCATTTTTAACAATATAATCTCGAAATTCATCATTAACTTGCCACAGTGCAGGGTCACTTGATGGAATAGACGACTTTTCTTCTATTAGAATTTCGTCTTCATTGTAGATCGTCGGCGTCGTCGCTACTATAGGGCTAGTGTTGGATGGAGAAACGTAACAGTCCGCGGTAGAGGAACCAGGACAAGAAATCGCTGGCGACAGTGCAGCATTCGTCACCGTTTCGTTCCTTTCTGCAGAGTTCGTAAAAAATGTTTCTAGTTTACGAGTATGTTTTAAAATGTTTTCTATTTTCTTTTCCTTTTCTTTTGCCTTTTTTCTGTATTCTGCTCCACTTGGCTTTTTTACTATCGAACTATTCTCATTACCACTCATAGTCTTAAAAAAATACGGAAACACTGAGGAAAGAACAATAAATATCAATCACCAAAAACGAATATACGCGAGCGCGTGATATGACGGATGAACGACGATTTCGAAAGAGATAAGACAAATGAATGAAGCACGGCAAAGTATACTACCTATTAACCACACCGGGGAGTCCCCGCACATCGTTGATGTGTTTCATTGCGCGCGGCAAGCTGCGCTGAGTGCCTAGTGCGAGTTTTGTTTAATTCGCCTCACAGAAACGCGCGTATACGTGAAGATTATTTTGTATGGGAATTTAAACAATGCAACCTAGACGATAAAGAATAGAATACGATACAATCGACACAGAGTCATCTAGCGGCAAACGCGAGAACTAGGTTGCACTGTTTAAATTCCGAATTTCCCATACAAAATGAAGTTAAAATTTACGCCCGTTATTGCGAGGCGGATTAAACAAAACTCGCACTAGGCACTCTGTTGCCAGCTCACCCACTCGCTCAACCACCGACCGATTCGAGTAACAAGTCAGTGTTTGTTGTACGCACGCTTTTTA